GGAATAGTTTCCTCGATCTGGAAGCTGCGGTTCTGCTGTTTCTTTACATCCAACGCCGCAAATCTTCACTGTCCTACCTGACCCTGTATATTACAGCTCCCATAGACATTCACAGGACTCTTTCCGTCTCCAGTCTCAGGACACGGCCCTATAGAGGTCTATGGGGGCACCAATGTGCAAGCATGACCAAGACAGTGAAGACTTGCACCTCTGGATGTAAACAAACAGTGGAACGGTGACTGTTAGAGGTAAGTATGCATCTGTGGAGGGGAAGGGTGGATCAGGCTAGGTTAGGGGTTGGAGATAAATACACTTTCTTTTAAAGGAGAACTATGAGGCGAGTGATTTTCACTCAGCCTCATAATCTGAGCCGACCTGTGACAATGAGACTGTCACAGGTCGGCTCAGTAGATCGGGAAGTGAGCGAACACATACCGTTGCTCGCTCACTTCTCGATCTATCCGTGCAGAGAGCCGTGACTGTCACTCACGGCTCCCTGCAGGGATTCCCCCCCTCACCTGTCCGATCCTCCAGCGCTGACTGGTGGAACGGACGGAGCGGGTACAGCTGGCTCTGCCTCTAGATAGGGAGAGCCAGCTGTCAATCATGCAGCTGGGCGGATCCAGACAGCATTGTCGGGATCCTTTCCGGCTGCAGCGTCTCAGTATACCGCGAGCTGTAGCTCCCTATATACTGAGCTTTGGGTGCCGGGAGGACGCTAGTTTGTGTCCCCCCGTTACCCTTAGGAGAATTATGGGGAAAAGCCCAGACCCCATAGTTCTCCTTTAACCTGCACTTACCCTTTAATCATTGAGCAAAATGGGGCAGTTGCACCATTCCCACCTCTGTCACTATGTAGGCTGGAGAGGAAGGGTCCCACTGCATTGATTATAGTGATGGACATATTGGCGCAGCAGGACCCTTTCTCTCTGATTCCGCCTACGTAGTAGTGATGTAGGCGGTGCTTGAGGGTCTTGTGGCACCAATTACATAGAGGAAACTTAGAACATACACGTGGTGTAGTGGGATACAACCCTGTCAGAGGTGTGGGTAGGGCCGCCAATCAAACGCTCACACTGAGCCCGCCCATTTCCTAAAACAGCCTCAACTCAGGCAATAGTGTTGTGGTTCTTGCGGTGTTTGGCCAGGTGTGTATTTTGGGAAAAGCCTTTCCCGCACTCAGAACAGATGAAGGGTTTCTCTCCTGTATGAACGAGCTGGTGCCTGGTGAACGCCGACCTGTACATAAAGCATTTGCCACAATCCAAGCATACAAACGGTTTCTGCTTGCCGCTGAAGTCCATGCCGACAAAAGACACGGGGTGGTAGAAGGGAGGGAACCAGGATTCGGCCTTGTGCAGCGCCTGGTGCGTAATGAAATCCGCCGCGTTGCCGAAACTCTCTTGGCATTGGGAGCACTGGTAGGCGGTCTGAGCCGCGTTTTCCATGTCCGCGGTGACAGCCAGATCTTTGGTGAGGCCGATCCCCCAGGCAGTGGCATGGACGGGGCTCTCCGCCTCTTTTTTGAGTGGGAACGGATTGCCTTTGCGACGCTTGCTGGGGGGAGTGTAGGAGTACTGAGCCCTCAGTCGTTCCGTCGCAGACTCGGCCGCCGTCTCCAGTTGTCTGTCGGAAGGACGCTCCTCATCCTGGACAGTGACGGATCTTGTCCTTGGGAGGGAGGAAGTTGGGCTGGACGGTCTGTCTGCCGGGTGGCATTCAGATGTGATGCAGGTTGCGGGACAGTCAGAAGGCAGAGACGCTGGAGGTGGATTTGGGGTGTTTTCAGCACAGCTGACAGACAAAACTATAAGGAAAAGGACAACATGTATGTATAAGAAGCTTTATATTTATCTATAACAGCAGCAAATCGAAGCTACAACTAAAGCCTTCGTGTACTGAAATGTATTAGTAGCCCTTAAAGCCGAACTCCGGGATCAGCAAATATTGTCCTCATACAAGAGCCATGTGTGTGAGAGTACAAGTATCTTACTGAGCTCTGTGCATTTCTACCAGATCTGGGCAGTCATCCAGTGTGAGACCCCGAGCTTCCTGTAATAAAGACCGGTCACTGCTGCTCACTCTCCTAATGCAGGGTGACTGGTCTTGTCTCCGCCCCCTCCTGTAATAAAGACCGGTCACTGCTGCTCTCTCTCCTTGTGGAGGGGGACTGGTCTTGTCTCCGCCCCCTCCTGTAATAAAGACCGGTCACTGCTGCTCTCTCTCCTTGTGGAGGGGGACTGGTCTTGTCTCCGCCCCCTCCTGTAATAAAGACCGGTCACTGCTGCTCTCTCTCCTTGTGGAGGGGGACTGGTCTTGTCTCCGCCCCCTCCTGTAATAAAGACCGGTCACTGCTGCTCTCTCTCCTTGTGGAGGGGGACTGGTCTTGTCTCCGCCCCCTCCTGTAATAAAGACCGGTCACTGCTGCTCTCTCTCCTTGTGGAGGGGGACTGGTCTTGTCTCCGCCCCCTCCTGTAATAAAGACCGGTCACTGCTGCTCTCTCTCCTTGTGGAGGGGGACTGGTCTTGTCTCCGCCCCCTCCTGTAATAAAGACCGGTCACTGCTGCTCTCTCTCCTTGTGGAGGGGGACTGGTCTTGTCTCCGCCCCCTCCTGTAATAAAGACCGGTCACTGCTGCTCTCTCTCCTTGTGGAGGGTGACTGGTCTTGTCTCCGCCCCCTCTAGTTTTTCGAAGGCAGCCTGTAGTGGGTGTCATTACATGTTTAGTAATAGGGCGTCTGTAAAACTGCTGGGGAACCTTAGGGGAGACCTTCATGGAAGGATCACAAGGTAACATTTTAACACTTTAAATGTTTCACAGTTAATTGAATGCTACAACAAAAGAAGATGAAAACAAATTCTGATCAAAGTAACACTTCTTCTATAATCACCTGCACTGATGAGATCTAATTCAGGTTCATCCACCTTATGTTGCTGTGTCCTGTCTTCACCTCCCGGCTGCCAGAAGAGAACACATTACACTAATCATACATTCCGTGTGGAATGACACGGGTACAGGTTACACGGAACAGCTATGTAGGGGTGACATTATAACAACCACATGTGAAATCAGACAGGTATTGGACCACGTAACACAGGGACAAGGAAAAGGCATCTGTGCCGTCACACGCTGGATCATCGTATATAGCAGAATAATCTCCAGGAATAGCTGGGAGAGGTTATGTGAGGTACTGTACCTGGTGATCCGGTGTACCTGTCCCGTCCTCTTCCCTTCTACAGCCTTCAGAACCGGGGACACTCCCACAGCCTTCTGCTGGATTCCTCTTACTATTGCAGCCTGTAGGGGACACGCACAGTTACAGCGACATACAAGCACATCGGACAATTACATAGCGAACCTTTTCTCCTCGATTTTTACACAGAGGACTCGTCTAAATGCGGTTTTACACAGAACCTGCCCCCCCCCCAACTGTCTCTTCCTTATGGGGGATACAGATCGGGATTTTTCTGCCATTTTTTTATGTGCAATAACAGTTTGACAAGATGGAGTGAGTCCATGAGGCTATAAATATCGGATCTACCATTGTCATCTTGCAGGCGGCCTGGAACAAGTAGAGAGAATGGGAGTTCAAAACCAACTATAACCTAGAGCAGGGCTTTACAACCTTTATTCGGTCATGGCACCCTTTAAAAATATGCAAAGTCTTAAGTGTAAGGCCTCATTCACACTGCCGTGCGTATGCACGTATTGTACCATATGCAAATAAATGGCTCCATACACACAGCCGCGTATGGAGCCGTATATTTGCGCAGCGTATATATATGCGCAAACACAGAATGGAACAGAGATGCGTCCGGGCAGCGTATGTCTGCGTATTTACGCGCACATACGCGTGTTTACGCGCATAGACACGCGCGTACATGCGTACAGCACATTCAAATTCCATTACGAGTGATGTATTCTGGGATTGCATATAGTGCACGCATATACGCGCATAGACGCTCGTATATACGCGCATAGACGCGTATATACAATTTTACTTGCATGGGGGGGGGATGAGGCCTAAAATTTAAAATGTGACATGCAGTTCTTTAAAAAATCTATACCAGACCCTTATCCTATATAGGGGTCTGGTATGGGTTTTAAGGTGGGATGCCATGCAAAAAAAAACAACAAAAACATGGGGTTTTCCCTTTCCCTCAGAGTCCCCCCCCCCCCCCTCACAACAGAGGCCCCTTTTTTTTACAGCTCTTACTC